GGCAAAGTCAGGAAAAACCAGGCACACAGGCTTCTAAGGGTCCTCTTAGTGTAGTGAAACAGACGCACTTCATTCTCCAGAAATCAATTGTGGTAACGTGTGAAATACTGTCAGTCAGGGGAGCTCATTAAAGTATCGGTGTCTAGTGTCTTTTGGGAGTGTTGATCACATAGGCAATTTTTGCCTAGCACGTCCCAGAAGTCCACTTTTAGAAGCAAAGTGGATATTCAGTATTAAACCATATTGTTTGCACAAACATTTTTGACACAGTGAGCCTCTCTTATCAGTCAGTGATTGGAACCCTCCTGAAATCTAAGTTACTAAATACTAACCAAGTGCTGCCTTGTATGCATGGCCTTTCTAGGGTTAAACAGTTTTGCCCGCTGTTTTAACTCTTTTCTTCAGTCATACAGTGTTTAAATAAGTTAAGGCGTTTATTATAACCTTCAAAGCAAACATTAATAGCTCAAAATAATAAGAAACAAGATAATTAACATGGTATATAACAATATCTATTGTACACAGAAGAAGGCAGTAACGGAGAAATAGTGAAACAAAAAAATTAGAAATATAGAAAACGGTATAGTGGTTATTTGCAAAATAGCTAAGTAAATCCTACCTTATTGATAATTACATAAAACGTAAATGGATTAAGTACTCCAAAATCCAAAGATTGGCAAATGGATTTTTCTAAAGAAACATGATCCAACTATATGCTCCCTGAAGAGAAACACTTTATTTAAAAAACACAAATAAATGAGGATAAATGGAGAAGGAAAGACATACCATGCAACAGCAAACAAAAGAGAGCCTGTTTGGTTATACTAATATCAAACAAAATAGACTTTAAGACAAAAATTGTTACTAAAGACAATATATATTTTATAATGATAAAATTGTCACTCCAGCAAAAATATATAATAATTATAAATTTATAAGCAATAAACAAAAGGACCTCAAATTGTATGTAGTAAAAACTGTCAGAAACAGACAATTTGACAGTTATAGTTAGAGACTCTAATACTTCACTTTCAATAATAGAAAAATTAGAAAACCAACAGAAAATGTAAGTCTTGAATAACACTATAAATCAACACTTACAAACCTAACAGATCTACCATACTTCACCCTATAACAACAGAATACACGTTTTCCCAGGTGTTCATGGCACATTCTTCAGGATAGACCAGATTTTAGGCCACAAAATAAGTCTCAATAAATTTTAAGTGGTTAATATTGTAGAAAGTATCTTTTCTGATCACAGTGGAATGAAACTGGAAATCTGTAACAAGGAAAAATGAAAAACTCACATAAATGTGGAAATTAAACAACATACACTCTTAACTAGTGGATCAAAGAAGAAATTGCAAGGCGATTAAGAAAATACCTTATGATGAATGGAAATGAAAACACAGCATACAAAATTTTAAGGATATAGTGGAGGAAGTGCTCATAGGTAAATTTATAGTTGTAAATGCCTATATTAAAAATAAGATCTGAAATCAGTAATCTAATGTTTTACCTTAGAAGTTAGGAAAAGAAGGGCAAACTAAACCCAAGGCAAGCAGATCAAAGGAATAATAGAAATTACAATGGAAGTAGAGAATAGAAAAAACAGTAGAAAAAAACCAGGGCAACAAAAGGTGTTTCTTCAAAAAGATCTAGAAAGTTGACAACCTTTAATTAGACTAAGAAAAAATGGAGAAAGGACTCAAATTACTAAAATTAAGAATGGAAGGGACATTGCTACCGACTACAGAAATATAAAATATTATAAAAGAACACCTTGAACAATGGTATGACAACAAATTTGATACTTAGATAAGTTGGACAAACTCATAGAAACTGTAACACAAGCTATTGAAACTGACACAAGAAATAGAATGTCTGAATAGATTTATAACAAGTAAAGAGACAACAATTAGTAATCAGAAAATTTCTCACAAAGAAAAGCCCAGGACCAAATAGCTTCACTGATGAATTCTAGCAAAGATTTAAAGAATAATTAATGCTAGTCCTTTACAAACTCTTAGAAAAAAAACAGAAGAAACATGTACCATCTTATGAGACCAGTAATGCCTGATGCTAAAACCAATCAAAACTATGGAGCAATATCCTTACACCTGTAGATGCAAAACTCCTCAACAGAAAAGTAGAAAACTGAATCCAGCAACTTACTAAAAGTATTAAACGCCATGACCAAGTGGATTTATACCAGAAATGCAAGGTTATTTCAATGTCCAATCAATTTAGTTGGCTCAACTAAAATTAATATAATACACCATATTATTAGAATAAAATACAGAAGCCACATGACCTCAAGATGAGAAAAAAAGTATTTGACAATATCCAACATATTTTCATGATAAAATACTCAACAAAGTAGGAATAAAAGGGTACTTCCTTAACCCTGAAGGGCATCTATGACAGACCTATAGTTGATATGCCTAATGGTGAAAAACTGAAAAATTTCTGCTTAAGTTTGAGAACAGATGTTCTCCCTTACTACTTGTATTCAATGTTAGAGATTCTAGACAGGGAAATTAGGTAAGAAAAGTGCATTTTTGAAAAAAGCAAAATTATTTTTAAATTTTCAAATCACATGGTAGTCTACATAGAAATCTTAAGGAGTCTATAAAAAATAGCTATTAGAGCTAATAAACAACTTAAGCAAGGTTACAGGATACATATTCAGTATACAAAAATCAATTGCATTTTTGTACACTAGGAATGAACAATCTAAAAATAAAATTAAGAAAATTTCATTTATAATAACATCAGAAAGAATAAGATAGTTAGAAATAACTAACAAAAGAAATGCAAGACTTGTACACTGAAAACTGCAAAGCATTATTGAGAAAAATTTCTAAATAAATGTAAGTATTCCATGATGATGGATTGGAAGAGTCTCAAATTGATCTATAGATTCAATGCAATCCCAACCAAAATCCCACTGGATTTATTGCAGAAGTTGAGAAACTGATCCTAAAATTCATATGGAAATTGAAAGAGACTCAGAATAGCCACAAAACCTTAACAAAAAATAAAATTGGAAAACTGACAATTCTTAATTTCAAATGTACTGCAAAACTACAATAATCAAGACTATGTTTTGCTACATAATGTAGACATATAAAATAGGAGGTATAATTGAAGGTCCAGAAACAAACCCATACGTTTACAGTGAATTGATTTTTGACGAAAGTGCCAAGATAGTTCATTGGGGGAAAGAATAGTCTTTTTAACATATGATGCTGGGATAACTGGATATCCTATGCAAAAGAATGAAGTTAGAACCCTACCTCACACCCACACCTTACACAAAAGTTAACTTAAAGTGAATCAAAGACTGAGTTGTAAATCTTCTTGACCTTGGAGTAGGCAATGGTTTCTTAAACCTGACATCAGAAGCACAAGCAACTAAAAAAGACTAGATAAATTGGACTTCTTAAAAAAAAAGAAAGAAAAAAAAACTTTCGTTCTTTAGAGGAAACTTAAGAAATGGAAAAGACAACTCATATTGGAGAAAATATTTACAAATTATGTATCTGAAAGGGTCTATTATCCAGGATATATTAAATTCTTAGAATTCAAAAATAAAAAGACAAATAGTACAATTTTAAAATGTTTAAATAAACATTTCTCCAAAAAAATATACAGATGGCCAGTATGCACATGAAAAGATGCTTGACATTATTAGTTACTAGGGAAATTTAAATCAAAACCATAGTGAAATGCCACTTCTTATCTTCTAGAGTACATAGAATGAAAAAGACGGACAATAACAAGTGTTGTTGAGGATATGGAGAAATTGGAAATCTCATACATAACTGATGGCAATGTAAAATTGTGGAATAGCTTTGGGGAAAAAAATGATAGTTCCTCAAAAAGTTAAACATAGAGTTTTCATACAATCCAACAATTCCACTCCTTGGTATATACCCAAAAGAATAAAAAATACATATTCATACAAAAATTTGTACAAAAATGTTCATAGCAGCATTATTTATAATCACCAAAAAGTGGAAACAACCCAGATACCCATTAACTTATAAATGATTTAACAAATGGTGGTATATCCATACAGTGGAATATTATTCGGCCATAAAAAAGGATGAAGTACTAATGCACAATACAAATAATCTTGAAAACATCATGCTAAGTGAAAGAAGCCAGACACAAAATGCCACATATTGTATGATTCTAATCATAGGAAATGTCCAAAATAGGCAAATCTTTTGAGACAGAAAGTAGATTAGTGGTTGCCAGGGGTTAGGGAAAATAACTGAGGTAACTGGGAGTGACTGATAATTGGCACTGGATTTCTTTTTGGGGTGATAAAAATGATCTGTAATAGTGGTGTAGGTTGCACAACCTTGTAAATGTACTAAAAACCACTGAACTGTACACTTAATTTTTAAAAATAATTTTAATAAATTTTTTTAACAAATTAAATCCAATAATCTATAAAAAGAATAATGCACCATGACCATGTGTGACTTTCCCAGGAATGAAAGGCTGATTCAGTATTCAAATTTTTGCCAGTGTAATCCACCATATTAACACTTTGAAGAAGAAAAACCGCATGAGCATATCGATTGGTGCATATCAGATTTTTTAAATAAAATTATTCATTCATGATAAAAACTCATTAGACTAAAGGTCATCTACATAAAATCAACAACTAACAATACATAAGGTGAAAAATAGTCTGTGTGGCTAAGGAAGGTTTCGGAAAATATTTTTGTTGACTTTCAAAATAGAATGCATATAGCATTTTGAGATGTAAGTTATCAGTAGCTGGCAGAACTAGGGGAATTTTTATGCATCTACTTTGGTACAGTGTATTGAGTAGTTCCTATAAACTTGTTCATCATTGTGACTTTGATTAAAGGAATAGAACAGACACATCATTGATTTTTTTCAACCTCTGTCTCACTAGAAATTTAGCCTTTATTTTCAAAGTTGTATCTATTTTATTTTCTCTCAATTTGTCATAGGTGTATTCGACACAAAAATGATTGGGGAGCTCTTATTCTAGTAGATGATCGTTTCAGGAGTAACCCAAATCGATACATATCTGGTAAGATTCTCAGCTGGGCTTAGAGTAAGAATTAATAAATCTTTGGTATTTAATGACTTCTATTTTTAAAAACAGAGTTGGACAGAGAATTTGAATTATGAGATCAAACATGGAAAATTAATATTGACTGGAAATCTAGCCTTTTAATATTATGTGTTTACAAAAAAGTCTTTATAGAGGAGAATCTGGTTACATTGTATTACTCAATTATGATTCTTTAATTTCACAGGATGTGAAATTTGACCTAGTAACATTGAAGTAATTTAGTTAGCATTGTCAGGGGAAAAGCTGTTCCACAGAACTGAATTTTCTAAGAAATACTAAGTTTTTACATTTAACCACTCGAGCACATTTCTAAGAAATATTAAGTTTTTACATTTAACCACTCGAGTCCTTTGGCTGCTTAGTATTCTTTATTCTTTCGTTCTGGGTTATGTTGAAGTTTGTTGTGTGTTGGTTGTGTGGTTGGTTCAGAAATACTTCAGTTAGTTAGAGTTTATGTTAGAGCTAGTATTTTCTTTAAAAAAAAAAACACCATTGCATGCCACAAAATCAAATAGATGGTCATTTTTTGCCCTCTAAACTGAACAAATATTATGTACTTATTTCCCTGACTTAAGATGGTTCAACTTACAATTTTTGACTTTACGATGGTGCAAAAGTGATACACATTCAAGTAGAAACCATACTTTGAATTTTGAATTTTAATCTTTTCCTGGAATGGTGATATGCAGTAGGATACTCTAGTGATGCTGGCCATTAAGAAATAGGCTTCATGTTAGCTGTGGCCAACTGTAAGCTAAAGGAAGTGTTCTGGGCACATTTAAGGTAGACTAGGTAAGCTATGATGTTTGGTAGGTTGAGGTATTAAATGCATTTTCAACTTAGGATATTTTCAGCTTACAGTGCGTTTATTGGGGTGTACCCCATTGTAAGTCAAAGAGCATCTGTAATTTTTATTCAGCAGTAACATAGTCCCTTTAGAGTCAACACCAGGAATCTATCAGTTATTAAAGAACTGTTGGAAATATTTGCATTTTTATTATCTTTAATGCTAAAAAGTTCATACCATACTGAAGAGATAAATTTTAAATTTGTGTTAGATTTAGTTGTTTATGGGTATGGGCTATACTTTTTCCATTTCAGAGCCTAATTACTATATTTAGTTTGATATTAAAACATGTACCTGGATTGAAACAGCAAATGCTGCTTCTTTTTGTATGTAAAGCAAGCCATTGTGCTTAGGTCAAGACACAACTAAAAGCAAAATGTTAAGTGCTTACGTTTAGTCAGCAGGTGGAGCTCAGATTCTTTCAAGTTTCAAAAGCAAACCAATATTTTACATTGAAAAGGCTTTCTTTGATTACAAAAAGGTCAAAATGAAAGAGGTAACTATAATACTAAAATTTTTTAATATGGGAAAATTTCATATTTTTATTCGGTATAATTATTTTCTAGCAAACAAAAATAAAGCACTTGAAAGGAAATGTTTATTTACTTTTTCTCTTCTTGTTACAAAATCTAAAACTTAAGCTTTTATCTCATAGTTCAGATTTTTTTGAATTAAGTATTTTTCATTATTTCTGTATGGTTTTTATTTATTTTTTCTGAGACTCAAAGTGTGAAATCTTAGCTAGGTGATAATAGTACAACATATAAATTTCTTTTGATAACTAATTTTTGTTTAAATTCAGTTTGCATAAATATAGATTGATAGAAAACTCCACTGGGAAAAAAAAAACTGAAGAAATGTATTTAAAATGGAAGTATACTAGTTTGAGTTGCTTGAAGCCTCATCTTATCTTTTTCTAAACTGAAAATACCATAGTGACTTTTAAACTACTCCTAAAGATGACAGTAGTTTTAGTAACATCAGCAGAGAACATTTATTTTCTAAAAGTTCAAATATCTAAGTCTGAATTTCATTTTGAAACGAATCATACTATACTTTATATGCAATATGGTTTATTTTTGTGCAGTTTTTATATGTCACAGGGCAAATCTTATCCCTTAATACTTGATTCTTTACATATTAAAAATAATTATATAATAAATATTTAGATAGGACTCGATTTGCCTATAAAACAGTGTTATACCTTTTACCACCAGAATAGTTTAAGATATATTTAGAATTAGGGGGAAAAGGGAACAAAAAAAAAGCCTATGAGACTAGAATCTTGATTTTATTTTTACAAAAGTTATCAAATTTAGAAGGTTGGAATGGAAGATTATGTTGTTTACAACTTTTAGTTTCCCTATAATTAAAAGGAAGGCAATTCTTTTTGTCCAGAATTATGATGAAATTGAATTTGCCTATTCGCTAGTTATTCTAAACTGACAATACATTTCCCCCTTCCCACTCACTCACACTGCTTCCCTTCCTCCAGTTGACAATCACTACACATAAAGAGAAATGTTAACGATACGTGAGCATATTATACATATGAAAATAAAAATGCAAGAAAAAATGTTGAGAACCATTATATATTCTAAATTCAAGTAAATTATTTCATTAGAAAAATCTAAGGCTTTTCTTAATATATAACGTCTTAATTAAATAACCAGAGTTTCTTCCTTGGGTTCACTTTTTCCTTAGGACTTTCTAAATGGATACGGCAGCAGATTCAGCACCATTCAACCTTTGAAAGTGCACTGGAGTCCTTGGCTGAATTTTCCAAAAAGCACCAAAATGTCAGTGATGTATCCAAAGAGGACAGAAAGTCTATACAGGACGAGTCTACACTTGAAGAAGCCTGTTTGAAGAACAATACCTCAACTCATTTATTAGAAACAGCAAGTCATCTATCACCAGAAAATCCTAGAGAAGGTGAAGCAAAAATGTGTATTCAAGAACTACAGCGTCCTAAAGTGATAACGAGTCCATTTCTACCAAGTGATATCACTTCCAGAAAGGAGAAAACTATGAGAAGTTCTGTCCATTTATATTTGATAGAGAAGTCTTTCATTATATTTAGTGAAACATTTATTATGTTATAAATTAATTTCCTTAAATATGTTGGTCTGTAATACAAGGTGTTATCATAAATTAAAGAAATAGTATGGTGTATTGGAATGGGAACAAACTTTGAGAATATTTGCTGGTTTTATATCAACAAACTTTGCTGCTAACTAGCTTTGTGACCATGATGAGCAAGTCATTTAACTTTTTTGAGTCTTAATAGAAAAAAAAGATTATCTGCTACCCATCCCTCCAGGTTAGGTTGTGAAGATACAATAACGTGATAAATATCAGCATTGTAAAGTACTATACAAATGTTTCTCTAAAAGCTATATTAAAAATTGGTATAATTTATAGATATTTTTATAATATGAATTTCTTAATTTAGGAAAGTAAAAGTCATTTGTTCTAAGTGATAAAAAAAATATTTTTAAATATAATGATCTATATCAGGGATTGGCAAACTATGGCCTATGAACCAAATTTGGCCTGTCTGTTTTTGTAAATGAAGTTTAATGGAACACAGTCATGCCCATAATGAATGTTCTGTATGTATTGTACATAACAGCAGAGTTAAATGGTTGTATTATTACACTAGAACAGCATAATTAAGCAGTTGCAACAGACACAATTTAACCCACAAAACCCAAAATATTTACTGTCTGGCCTGTTATAGAAAAAGTTTGCCAAACTGTGGTCTATCTCATTGGGTATTGTTATTTTTTAAAATTTTTCAATTAGTTATTTCAATTGTTTTAATTAATATATGCTAGTAGTTTAATATATTTATTTTTAAAAACTTATTTTATAGTATATGGTTCTCTCCTAAATAAATGACATAGTGAATTCAGGGCCATTATATTAGTAATCAAGAAACCTAGGTTCTGGTCCGGGTCTGATTACTAACCAGTTTTACATCTTAGTCTTTGTGGTTATCAGTTTCCTTAAGAGAATTAGTCTAAGTCGGTTTTTCTCAATTACTAGTTAGTGGATTTTCAAGGCAAACTTTTACAGCCTGTTCCTTCCTTTACTGAGCCATCTTCCTCTTTCTTTTTACCCCTCCTTTTCTCATTCACTCCTGAAGTTTCTGGTGTGGAATTTGATAATTTACCAGGTAGCATTACAACTTCGGTTAGGAATCACTAGAGACCTAAGATTCCTTTCACAGTTAACACTTTGTGCTTTACATTCTGAGACGAAAGTCCTACTACTGCTTGGGGGTTCAGAATTATGTATTCTATACAGTTATTTTAGTATTTCTAGCAAAAATCATTTTAATATAACAATTGTAATGTTAGGAGCAGAAAGTTAACATTCTTAACTTTTTGTGTTCATAGATGATCCAGTATTATTGGAAGAGTCTACCCAGGCAGTAAAAGCAGAAAAAATTGTGATTTCCAGATCCACAAGCCCAACCTTCAACAAACAAACAAAGAGATTTAGCTGGTCTAGCTTTAATTCTTTGGGACAGTCTCTTACTGATAAAATTCTGACTACCACACCTAAATTTAGGTCATTAGAGGACTGCGCCTCTAGTTCTTCCACTTTCAAAACAGAAAAGGGATGTAAATCTGTTTTGCCACTCACTGATAAATTTGAGTCCTCGTCTCTGAAAGTGAACACGTCAGTTGGACTATGCCCTCAGTCAGAAACCATTATTCCATCAATAAAGATTGATTCCGCTCTTCTTAAAAAAGATCATTCTAAGCAGCTGCTTTGCTGTGAAGAAGCCCTGGATTCGGACATTGAATTGTCTCTAGTAAGTGAAGAAGCTAAACTTTCCACTTCAAATACAGCTTTTGAAACAGAAGCAGAAGATGACTCTATCTATTTTACACCTGAGCTGTATGATCCTGTTGATAAAAATGAAGAAAACAATGAACTAGTTGAAACTGATAGAGACAATAGATTGGCTAATAATTCAAATTGTATTTTAGCTGAAGATCTTTTTGAAATTAGGACTCTGAAAGGAGTAGACTCAGTCAGGGAAATGAAAGCTGAGGATTGCACAGACAAAGTTGAATAAACTCATGCATATTAAAGAAAATAAAGCTGATGACATTGGTAGTAATGTAAAAACAACTCATATAAATGAATTGGATTGAGGAGGAAATCATGAAATGGATATAAAGAACTTTAAACAGTCTCCTTCCAAAAATAAAGATGTGTTTCCTGGTGTTATTTAATAATACTAACTGTCCAGCTATGAAAAAATATCATGGTTATATTAAACTATCGTAAATGATAATTTATACATTGCAGAGATATATTTTTAAATTTGAGATGTATTTTTCACTTTAATTCATTGTCATTAGAGTTTTAAAAATTATGTTCAGAAATGTAAATTTCATTAATCTCAAGTTTTTGATAAAGTGATTCATACAAAATATTTTCCTCCAACAAGTCTTCCTTAGCTAAATGTCATTCAGAATTAATCAATCTGAAAGATATATAGTTGTCTAGGGCACTTTAAATTTTTCATAAATATTTGTATTCTGTAGTCTTCTTTATCTATTTGTTTTCATACTGATACATGAAAATTAATAGCTGTATAATCCAGTCACGCCTCAACCATGTTCCACTATAGATTTTGCCTCAAATTGGTCTGAGATTTTTTTAGAAATCAAAGTTTTCTTGAAAACTTTATACTAAACTGCCTACTTCTAGGTAATTAAGAATTAATTACCATGCATTTTTAATTGACATTGTTTTACATTTGTTTGTTTGATAAATTAAAATCAAGCATGTTTTAAGCAAACTTATGTAAAGTTATAAAGTGCCAAACGAAAGACTCCAAATTTTCAGTTCTAATTATTTAGCTCCATCATCATTGTGGGAAAATGACATGTTCTAGTATAAAGGCTTTAATTTTTCAACTGTTAAGAAAGAAAACTTCATGTGTAAATTTGATAAGTAAATGCAGACATGTAACTGTGGCTGAAAAATGTTCCCTTAAAGCTCAGTGAGCCTTTCTGTAAATTTTGACTTTGTTCATGTTTTTGTAAATGAAGCTATACTTCAGATAAAAAATAGTTATAAAAGATGCTCTTCTCTGACGTCATTCCCAAACTGCATTCACTGATCTTTTTCTAAGAAACATCTGTTCTATGGACATTTATGCTTCTTGTGAGTAATTTGAATTGAAATTTTATGAGCTGTTCTAGTTGTGAATGTGGTTTATTATTTTCAAGTCAAAATTCCCAGCAATCAATTTCTTTTATATTCATTTAGATAAGTGAATTAATTATACATGCATATGTTTCCTTTTATTTTGATAATGTTTAGATTGAATACAATTTCATTGTTTCTGTAGCATCGGATGTTTCAATTATAAGCATAGTTCAAAGAAATTTAAATTGATAATTTACCAGTTAAAGAATTTATAAATTGGGATATATTAGATCCCACTTAGTATTACATATTTTTTTAATTGATTAGTGAATAATAAGTTACAAAACACTAGATTAGAAGGTAATTTCTAAATTGTTTTGAATGGGTGTAACCATTTCTCCTCTCCAGTATAGTTCTTAATTCACAGATAAAGGTAGTCGGGTAGTAGAAAGAATACCAGGTGGAAGACAAGAGACTTGGGCTGTATTCCTGGCTCTGCCACTAATTTGCTAAGTCATGTTGGCAATCACTATGCCTCTTAGGGACCATTTCATCTGTGAAATACAGAACTTAGTACTGTAAAATTATGCAGATCTTTCAGCTTTAAAATTTATAATTTAAAGGAACATATGTTATTTCACTCCGAATCAATTTTCATTTGCTTTTGTTCCAAATTGAGTAAAGTAACACAAACCGTTTTATAGAAAAGGTGAAATGACACTCATCTGCCTTTAGGGCATAATTGTATGAATATGTACATAATAGCTTGGGAAGCAAAATATTTATTTTAATGATGCTGTGATTAAAGCATTTTTGGACTCTTAAGATTGCTTTTAGAAGAATTGGTAAACTACATGAGAAAAATCAAGCATATTATTTTTTAGTCATACTTTAATATTATTGTCCAACTTGGTCTCAATTCCGATCCCTTCCCTGGATAAGATTTCTTTCTTCCCAACTATAATTCCCTCCAAAGCTAAAAATTTCCATCACTTATAATGTTTGTAGAGATGTGCCACAAGCTTTTAGTAATTCCAAGAGATGTTTCAAAAATTTTCTACAGTGATGTCAGTTTTGAAACAAGTAGTCTTCTGAGATTATAACTTTGACCAAGATAATATTATAAGAAGTAAAGTACTAACCTTTATAACAGAGTAGGAGGTAGAACATTTTCATTAGTGATTACATACTTTTTAAAGAAATTACATACTTTTTAGAGAGTTAAATAAGTTAAAACATGTAAAAACATTTAAAAGAATATCTGGCACATGGCAAACCATCAATTATTAATAAATCAGTCATATATCTGGAGTGCTTTATATGAAGACTTCCCTAATGATGATGGATGGATGGACGAATGGACAGACGGATGGATGGATAGACAAAAACAATAAAGAATCGTAATATGGTAGGAAGGAAAAATTATTTGGTTTATTCTTTAAGGCTTTTGAGATGTTTAAAAGAGAAATTGTTTATCAGGTAATTTCCCTTACCCATTGAATGCATATAAAGTAATTATCTAATACTGAATTTATTTAAGGGCTGAAAGTACATAAAGCATGCAGGCCACGAACAAGGAAACCTACCAATTGGAGAAAGAACTTTCTTCATAGAAGAAAGGTACAATGTTTTCATGATTTGACCTTTGAAATTTAAATGAATCATTCATAACTTGTTATAGTTGTGTTGGAAATTAATAGCTTGCTATGCTACTACTACGTATTTAATTATTACATGGTTTTAATTTGGCACTATTTCAAAGTTCACATAGGGCTTTGTATATAGTCTTCCTTATGATCTTTCTATTCAAGACATTAATTTTTTAAAAAGGTTACCCCATATTTTTTTTCCTGCAATATGACTTTGTCATGTTATTTTTCTATAGTGAAATATATTCAAAATATTTAATTCTTTCAGATTGCTTATAAAATTTCATCAAAGTGCATGTTGTAAAATCACTTGAAAGACTAATTATGATAGTCATTTAATCTCAGTGATGTCATTTTTCGGTATACTATTACCACACGATTATTCTTGCTCAAGCTCTGTTTAATTTCAGATTTATCAATGAGCTACACAAGATTTTACATTAATCTTTATGAATTCTTGGTAGTTTCTTGTCTCCACAGAAAAATGCAGTCAATCTTTTGTAAATAGAAAGGCAGTATTAATATTGAACTTTTTGAATAATAAAAAATAAATTTAAGATCACACCAAACAACAGATGTCTAAGGAAGCTAAAATCTGAAGTGTCTGTGCAGCTATTAAACACACAATAAAGAACAGCACTTCAGGAAATAGAAATTTAGACAGATGACCTAGGCTTATGATTCTCTAGCTTTAAATAATTTTCATGCCTATGGGGGGAAAAAAAAAGAGTTTTGTTTCTTAAGCTTTCACCTGATAGAACGAGCCATTAGCTGCCTGGTTTCCTGTACTCCACAATGGAGCCTTGTTATAATATGCAAGGGATCCGAGCCAGTGGATCACCTTATTGGTGAAACTACCTAATAATGAAGTGCTTTCAGTAACTAAACTCTTGGACTAGGTCCAAACAACCCATCTTATACTAAATCCCACTCTATAATAAACAACCTTCAATGTATTAGAAGGAAAACAAAAGTTGTATGAAACTTAGTATTCCCAGAAATTAACCTTTGGAAACATAATGGTAAATACTGATTAAAAATAATATCGGTTACCAAGTCATAGTCATGTAGATATTTTAGTGCTTTTTATAACAAATTTGTATTTTTTTTTTAATCAGGCTTTCTTTTCTGAGCAATTTATATGATACCAATTCTCGTGCTTTTCTCCAAAATTTCATCATTTTACATTATTTTACATAAGTATTTATACAACTCAATATTAAAATGTTCCATTTGGCTCCTTGCTATTATAAAGTATGAGAATGTACAAGTGGAATATCATTTATGCAAACTAAGTTAAATGCCATCATCTTTTTTATGTGATTCATATGTAGTTGAAAAGATTTAAGGATATTAAATACTGATTGTTATTTCATGTCAAATATTGTCTCAGTATATATTTTTTTCAAACCATCCTGTGGTATTCATATTTAAATATTAACCATTCTTTCAAACACTGATCTCTTTTATCTGTTATAAAAATACTCAGTAACCCACCTTCCTAGTCAGGACTTTATTGTATTGCTTGTGGAACTAAATTATTACCTAAAGAAAAAGGAGATAGGATATATAAAAATTACTTTGTGCCATACTTAGTATAGGCTCACCTAAATTGCAGTAAAGATTGATATATTAATATTTCCATATTTTAATCTTTAAAGTTGATTGGCAATATACATGGACTTTGATACCATATTTCTTCGAAACATGTTTCTATTCCACCTGCTGACTTACTTTGGGCAAGTTAATTTCTCGAACCTTTTGTTTTTTCATTTTAAAAAGGTGAAGATTAATAATAATTTCATAATAAGTAAGTCAAACATTATGACTATCAACGCAGTAGAGTACATAAAAGCTTTTTGTTTTGTAACATCTGGCAAGAACAGAATTTGGGGTCAAAAGAATGACTTTGAATTTGGCCCTCCTATTTACTGAGTAGCCTTGGTCATTTTTGATGTTATAAGCCTCAGCTTTATTTTCTAGAGGGAAAAAGCGAGCAATACCTACCTAAGAAAATTATTGTGAGGATTAAACAAGATGATAGGTAATATGTAAAAGGATTTATCTTAGGATTTTGTCATATACTTGGCTCTCGTAAATACTCATTTCATTTGACCAGTTTCTAGACTCTAATGACTATTTTCTTTCCATTTTTTTTTTATTCTTATTACCCTAACAGCATTAAATTCTTTATACTTTCTCTATTCCTTCTGTTGTGGCCAGAGATTGTCTTTTTCTTTTATTCTAAAGGGTATACTTTTGCGAACTTTACCTGGAAAAAATGTTAGATTTTTGCACATTCTGTTTGAGATGTTTATAAACAGTATTCTGACACAATTAGATTCTACATATAAATTTAATTTCATATTAACTAGTTGATTAACCAAAAATGTCACCATTTTGTAAGCCTTTCAAGCTCATTACTACCCTGAGACAAAATTTTCTGTCTGTGTCCAATGTAATGTTTATTGTATGATGTTGCAATTAATTGTATAAAAGTCTCTTTCCAGCACAGTGTGGCCCCCTAAGGATAATGACAGCTTCCCATATTACCTAGCATTTATTCATTCATCCACTCATTCATCTGACATATGAGAGCCTGCTTTACATTAAAAGCTATGCTATGCTCTAGAGATAACAAAGATGAGTAAGACAAAAATCATATCCACCAGGAATTCATAGCCTAATTCCCATACCAGTAAGCACTTATGGTATACTGTGATAAAAGCTCTAAAAGAGGCAAGGCACACAGCCGTGTGTGTTGAGTATATGCATGCTGGTGTGCACAATTATGATTCTAATTAGACAATCCATAAGTTAACAGTAGAATTTGTTTAAAACAGGAAACATCTTGACAGATTTTAAGTTTTTGATGAAAAAATGCTTACAATTTTAAATAATATTCTTGAGGTAATTCAGGATATGCTGGTTTTCCTGATGTTCTTAATCTACAGATTTCTTAGCCTCTCTACTCTGAATTATTTACTTACATAGAGAAAACAAAGCAAGAACATAGGTACATCTTCTGTAGTGCTTTCAAGTGTAGCATATAGTGTATTGTAAAGCTTTCACAACCATTAACTCATCTGGTTCTCAAAGTGTCCAGCCAAAGTCAGCAATACAGATAGTATTATTCTTATTTTATAAATGAGGAAAAGGAAACATAATGAGACCACAACCAAAGTCACGGAGGTCTTTCCACTTTTTGGATGTGTTTTTATACTCATATTGATTTTGGTCCACCTTTGTTTGCCACAATCTCTTTATGAAAGGTATAGTCTTAGAATTCTGAAAGCGAGCCTCATTATCTTTTTCCAAAGGAGTGCTTTCCAGAATGATAACATTTTTATAACATTAAACAAAGATACATTAACATCCATTAAAGAATATGAACTCTCTGAGAATAGAAATAGTCCTAGAACATAGTATAAGGGTTGACACGTAGAAGGTGCTTAGTAAATATTTTTTATGAGAAGAAGGAATTTCAAAACAACCTCAAAAAACTTAAAATTGTCTTGGGTAACATCGCTAACTAGTGAGAGTCAGAACTAGTACCCAGGTGTCATAACTTACAATTCCAGATTCTTATAACGTCACACTAACTCCTGTGATACCAAAGCCTCCATTTCTTGACTTCACCTCTTATGATTTCACTTCCATTTCATTCATCTATTCCCATTGACTGTACCCTAGGACTTTCTCATTCGTGTACACTTGAAAACTAATATCCCTCTCTCTGACCCCCTTTCTGATTTTCTGTCCTAGCTTTTACTCCGTTCCTCCTTCTACACCTACTCCCTCAGTTTTCTCCCAGTTTATCATCCTCCTTCAGTCTTTGCTTCCTGCCTTTCAAGTTTGGACTTCATAGTTAGTCCCTGGAACTGTTCTCTTGCTGGTGTCCTGAATTCCTATCCACTTTTGTCATTCTATCTAGGTCCTGCAAGATCCCAAATCTACCTTTGTTATTACATTCGAAAGTTCAACCACTGCTGAAGAAGGTGGTATAGTAGTGTGGATATAGCTCAGTGTTTTAGATTTAATTGGATTCTCAACACTGCTTTTCAGCTCGAGTGTTTTTCCTCACTGGTTCCCTTTCTCCCCTCACCTGCCAGCAGTGGACTAAACTTCCATATTCTTTTCTCAGCCAGTTCCAGTTGCTATGCTGCTTCTGGATAATCTTACACTCCTTTGAACTGTATGCTGATGATTCCCAACCCATCATCCAGCTGACTGCTCAACATCTTGGAGCATCTGGAACTCCATTTATAGAAAACAATTTTTTTTTTCTAAAACCTATGCTTCCTGTTTCAGCTGGTGACATTATCATTTATGTAGTTTTACAGATCTTCAACTAGCAAGTGGTCTTTTTGAGATGCACAATATTGTTCAACTCTCCCTACTCTCTAGCATTGTGATTACATTAATTCAGACCCTCATAATCTCTTTGTTGACAATGTAGTATTTCTTAACTAGTCACTTTGCCACCAGTCTTTCCCCTAAAGTCCACCTTCAGCTTTATTGCCAGTTAGCCAATCTACAATGCAAATCTGACCACATCATTCACCTGTTTAAAATCCTTCTCTATACAAGATCAGGGGAAAATTTCACATGACATACCAGGCCTTTTGTGATATGGTCTTTGCCAACATCTCCAACCTCATCTTCTATCAGCCTTTGCTAACTTTATGCTTAATAGTTCTAAAAACATCATGCCATTTCACATCCATTGCCTTTGCTAATGCTCTTCCACCTGTGCTGAGTTCTCTTTCTCTTCTTTACCTAGCAAACTCTTACTCAGTCCTACAAATTCACCTAAGCTATTTCCTCTGAAAATTTATCATGTCTCCCCAAACTGCATTAAGTGTACTTCATCTTGGCCCCCCAGTGCATAACTTGAACATAGTATTTTCTGCACCATGTTGTTTATTTTTGCTTCTGTCTTCTTTATCAGACTTAGACATTTGTACAACGTAAGACTTTGTCTTTGCTCTTGCATCTGGTGCCTCTTTTTAAATAGTATGCACCCAATTAATGACACTGTTCAGTTCCACAAACTGAACTGAACCATGCTGTCTTGAGACTCGCTACTTTTATTTAGGTGACACTTTTATTTGTTTCTTATATTGTTTATTACTGTTTTTGTACTTTAGAGTAGGCCAGAACTTTAGAAATCATCTACTTCCCTTATATTAAACATGAGGTAACTGATTTCCAGAGAGATTAAGTACCTAGACCAAAATCATTGATAGCAACACACCACACTGTTTTTAATGTAGTTTTGTTCATATTAACTTGACTTACCCTCTCAAGGCATTCTTAGAGAAAGGTACAATTTTAGATAATTAAGAAGTTAACAAATTAAGATACTAATTAAAAAGCCAGTCAATCATAATCTTTGTGACTGCATCCAACTGTAGAATATTATGAGAAGCAGTATATGTTGGTGATAATAGATTTTAATGATAATATATTATTTTATCGTTACCAGTACGTGCAGTAATTCTCCATTGAGTTGTCTTCTGATTGACTAACACATATTTACAAACAAACCTTAATAAATTACTGCAACCAATAGTATTTTTGTACGTAATTAATATAATCGTTAGTGTGATATACCTTCCCTAAGTTTTTTTCACCTTATTTTTTTATAAGAATTTTAAAAAAGCTTTTTCTAAGAATACCGTGCTGATAAAAATCCAAAGAATCTTCCAAAGAATATGGAACATTAAATTAAGTTGCACAAAATCCCTTTGCCATTGCTTAACTGAGTCAGAGTACAGATCAGAAGAAAAAAATTTATTTTATGTCACCAGTGACAGTGCTGCCCTTGACCATTTAAAAACCACATTGGTTTATCAGACTTCAGTGAAGAGTGAAGGTAAACATTTAATAGCTACGTTGTTTCCTTGTCACTTTCTAAAGCTATTAAATAAGGTACTTTTTTTATTTTCATGCGAACTCTCCAATGAAAAGTAATATTTAAATTGCTTTTTAAATATATTCCACTCTCTTAAGAATTGCAAACAGAAAAATAAAACAATCTCAAACTCTGTTCAAAACAAAGAAATACATAAAGAAGAAATGTCATATTAAGACAGATGAGTCATTAGTCGATCTACCTGTGTCTGATAATGACTCCCAGAAAAACATTCCAAGGCACGCAAATCCAGATCTGATGCATGCTTTGGCAAGTTTGACCTGGGCAAAGGATGAGCAGTAACTCACGGAAGCAACCTAAAGGATAAAAGAAACTGGGTTCCACCAGCCGTTCCTAAAAAACAACGGGATAGATGCCCATGTACAAACAAATGACCCATTAACCCATGTGCTTTTTTTCGCATAAATATGTCTCAGGTTGTCTACTGCCCTGTTATAATTTCCC